GCTATCACTTGTTTTCAGTGGAAAGGTGTTATAGTGCTGTAACACTATAATGTTACATTGCTATAATGTTAATTTACACAAAATGATTTGTTATCACCAATAACCACAGCAGGAAGGGTTGTTGTTGTTTTTGTTTAAAATCAATTTAAAAGAAATGAGTATCTTTTTTAAAAAAAAATTTTTAGCAAAAAGAAAGCAGTATACATAAAAAACAAGCAAACATAGGTATACATAAAAAAGAAAAAAGAAAAAAGGTATATTAATCTTACAACAAATATTCATAGATTGATATAGAACTTATACTATATATGAGTATCTTTGCATTTATAGCACTACAATATTAGCACAATAATGACATTTAAAAATAAATGATGAAAAGACTTTCTGAATAGTCACCATTTTAGTAGCACAGTTTGTGACAGTAAACATAAAGTTATTGTTATTACCCTTAAGTCATTAGAACTCTCCCATATGGAAACTGCACTGGTTAACTAACACACACTTTTCTTGTTTTAAAAGGGCTTTCAAGCAAATTGGTCAATTAAAAGCATCTGTCTTTCGTAGGAGATGCTTGTTAATGATACTGGTATTTTGTCTGCTGCATATCTTTTGTAGTTGGTAAAAATTACATTTCCACTTTCCCGGATCCATCTTTAGCTGTTAAAATGTTGCCAACAATGGAAAATAAATTTAGTTCCTATTATGTAAATCCCAGATAGGGTGTTTATGAAGAAGATAATGTTTTCCCATTAGTCTTGGCAAGTGTGATTTGTCACTTTTATCAAGTTCTGTGACAGCATCTTTCCTTATTTAGAAGGATAGAAAATAGTTGCCTTCACTAAAGGGAAAGAGATATAAACTCAAAGCTGCTTGCATCAAACTGTGCCACCTGGCATGTTAAATATTGGGAATAAGTTAGATACTACTTTTAGTTCTTTATGTTTCCTAGGAGCTGAAAAATTAAATCAATGTGGTTTTATATGCACTTTGAGATCCACCTTCATACCCTGTGAAAGTGATGCCTATGTCATATTTTCAATGCACAGATATTCCGTATGTGAGTCTACAGGTAAGCACACCTTTATATATTCTTGGATTCTCTTCCTTTCCACTAAGAGGAGCTCCAGACAAAGATGTCTGTGTGAGAAAAAGATTAACGTGACAATATAGCCTGAATAAGGCAAAGATTCTGTTTTTGCAGCTGAAAGAGGAGGAACATTTCATCAGTCCTGCTTTATGACATGCTAGGTACAGACATCAGATTTCAGATCTTCAGTCAGCATGAGTAAGCAGCAGAATTCATATAACTCCTTACTCATGAGTCACATTTTTAACTGAGGCCCAAAAGCTGAATCTACAAGAAGTCCAAATAATGACTCTCAAGAAATTGATCTCTTTCCCCCTCTTGGTTCTTTCATTTCATTTATTAACTGATATTCTTTCATTCATAATATTAACTGATGCTCATCAGATAGAATATCGTCTGTCTCTAAAGTGAACAGCAGTTAGTGGTGGTGGTGCTTTTGCAAGAAACCCTGATATTTCTTTTTCATCCAAATTACTCTAAACATTTTCTGAGAGTTTGTTCTCCTGCTTTTTTTTATTGCTTGCCTATATTTTGAGAAGCACCTACGGTAGACTCGTAATCTGGTGAACCGGGTTCGCATCTCCACTCCTCCACATGCAGCTGCTGGGTGACCTTGGGCCAGTCACACTTCTCTGAAGTCTCTCAGCCCCACTCACCTCACAGAGTGTTTGTTGTGGGGGAGGAAGGGAAAGGAGAATGTTAGCTGCTTTGAGACTCCTTCAGGTACTGATAAAGCGGGATAACAAATCCAAACTCCTCTTCTTCTTCTAACTGCATAGTTCTTTTAGTGGCCTGAAGACACAGACACATCAACCACCACTGTTTTTTAAACAGGCTTTATAGTTGGTCTGATGTGAAACTTTTCACTTTCCTGGAACTCTCTGAAGGAAGACACGGATTGATTTGGAAAATTAAGGTCATGATTATATCAAAGCTTTACAATGATTTGTAAAGACTACACTGTGTTAGTTAACTTTACTGTCTAGCACCCATCCCACAATGCAGTGGATATTCAGCTAAAGGACAAGCAAGGCCTAATTAAGACACACAGCAGTTCCATTTGTGGGGTGCATTTTGTGGAATGTGGGCCTACCAATCCTAAATATCCAGCCTTATCCTACATGAGGTCACCCATGCAGACAGCAAAGCACAGAGCTGGCATCCGTCTCCTTTCCTCTTATGTCCACAAGAAAAGGGCATCTCTGACACCATCCCGGAACAGATGTGGGATGGATGGAGTTATTTATTTCTACAATAGAACATTTACATCTAGTGGAGGCACTTCCTCACAAACCTCCAGCCCCCACTTGTCTGCCATCTTAGTTGCAAGTCAGTGGGTGGTTGTGTCTGTCACTGGGCCTATCCTGGCTCCATCTACTGCTGATCTCTCTGCCTTCTGCCCTACCAATCCCAATGGACACCAGCCACCACTGTTTACATCTCACGTTTCTTCCATTATGGAACCCAAGTCAGAACACATGGGTCTTAGACCTAGGCACAAACTTGCTTCAGCAAGGTAGTGACTTATGAGCTTGCTTTTTTATCATTACCATGCCCAAGCAGAACGTTACGAATAACACTCCATAATAAGACGACTCTTTAGGTTTCCTTTTTTTAAAGTTAGGAATCTGATCTGACGAAAATGAAAATGAAAATGCTAATGCAAATATAGATATGCAAAACAGCATGTATCAGGAAATACAATGCCTTTTCGATTTTGCATGCATTATAATCAATTAGCAATCTTGATGTGAAAAGCAGTGGAGACATAGAGTAACTTTAGCTTGCTAACTGAAGTTATCAGTTTGAGAACGTTCCCTTTGCTCGTTGATGAGGGGTTAAATGAGCTGAATGAAATGGGTAATTTTTCGCTACTTTCTTTGCTTAGTGTAACAGCAGTTATTTGAAGCATGTTTTGCTTATGACAACTGTAAAATCTAAATAATTATCCATAGCAAGGGAGCTTATTTCGAATATCACCAGGCCATGATTTTAAAGATTCACACTTTGCAGCGGTTTTCAAAATATAGATTCTGCAACCATCTAGGGAGAGTGTTGGGTTTTTTGCAAGTGTATTCTGCAACATGCAATTGCCACAATAATAGTGCATTAGTGGTAGATTTATATTGGACCTGCCACACATCACTTCAACTTATTGATTGTTCCGTGATGCTTTCCAAACGTTATCATGTGTTTGCTGCCTGGAGGGACACTCTTGTGCTATACTGCAATAAAAGTGAGACATAAAATAAATCAGAACATTTGTGGTATAAAAAGTTACAGGATTTCAGCAGGAAGCTACGGGACTTGCACTGATTGAAAATGAAGTAATAAGTCCACCCCAAACGTTTTGCAGGTGCAAACTGTAGTGGAAGAAGATCAAGTATAACTGCCCCGATACCATCATCTGCACAAACCATAAAGTGAGCACAATAAAAAAGGATGACTCATACTCTGTCACTGCTGACAATCCATTGGGGAATGCCGGGCTTCTGAGTCAGATGTTGTTTCTAGCCAGAATTGGGCAACAGGACTGCCTTTGTTTGTCTCTGATTTACAGCTTGTGATTTGTCTGGAGGAGGCAGATCACAAACTAGGGCTGAGACAACGTGCATGGTTTGGCTCATAGCAGTGCAGGAGCAAAAGAACTGGAGGAGGAACAAAGCCCCATACATTCGTATGTGAAAACAAGCTTATTGTGTGATTGCTGTGAATCAATTTCTTTTTACTTGCTGTTCACCATCCTAAAGATTCCTGTGACATCCACAAACTTGGCTGCCTCATTGCTCACTCCTGTCTCCAGGTTATTTATTTATGAACACATTAAATAACACCAGGCTAGGAAGAACATAGATTTGCTTACTTCAACCAATGTGAAATGTGTCTGCTTACTCTTCCATAGTGCTTTCTGTTCTCCATACAAGTACTAACCATAAGGGGATCTATCTTCTAAACCCATGGCTGTGAAGTTTGCTCAAGAGCTTTTGTGGAGAGAATTTGTCAATACCTTTTTGGAAGCCCAAGAATATAATGGGAAATGATCTACATGCTTGTTGCAGCTCTCAAATAACTGCAGGAAGTTGTTGAAGCAGGACTTCCTTTTACAGAAGCAATGCTAATCCCTGCTCAGCTCTGCTATATGTTTAATGAGTCCAACTTTAATAATCCTTTTCCCAATTACCTGGGACAGATGTTATACTAATGGATCTATAATTTCCTGGCTCCCCTCTGGATCCTTTTACAAATGATGTTATGTTTGCTACCTTCCAACCTGCTGGTAAAGAGTCTGATTATGTTGACAAATTGCATATTGTATTACAAAACAACACAATTCTTAAAAAATCTAGTACAGGTTATGGTGCAGGTCACTGAGACCCAGGTGTTTGTTAATTTTTAATTTGTCAGCCCTTTGCTACCTTCGTTAGAGTTTCATCTTCAAGTTTCCTGGCCTGCCACACATGTCAAATCTATGGAACCATCAATTCCTGTTAATATATATATATTTATTTCATTGGACTCAGAGCCATCTTTGGCCTATATGGTAGTAACAATACAACCCAAACAAACGTGTAGCTGTCATGAAGTAGTGATCCTGTGAGCAAGTATCACTGGCAGCTGGTAACGATTAGTCCCCAAAGCGGGAGCATGTGATGGCGCTGGCTGGTTGCCAGCATTCCCCAGCCCCTATAAATCTTCAAGTTAGCCTGCTGGGGGAGGGAGAGAACATGCCATGTTTTATACTTGCTGTTTGGTGTCCTGTAGCTGGTGCCAGAGAAGAAGCCAATAAAGCCTGGTAACCCATTTGGTACCTGCGTGTGATTGATTAGTAGCTTGGAGTGAGGACTTGGCAAAGCGACCCCCTCCTTGACAGTAGCTCTTGATCTTTTTGTGTGGCAGTGCCTACACATTGGTAAAAGGTAAAGATAAAGGTACCCCTGACCATAAGGTCCAGTCGTGGATAACTCTGGGGTTGCGGCACTCATCTCGCTGAGGGAGTCGGTGTTTGTACACAGACAGTTTTTCTGGGTCATGTGGCCAGCATGACTAAGCTGCTTCTGGCGAACCAGAGCAGTGCACGGAAACGCCGTTTACCTTCCCGCCTGAGCGGTACCTATTTATCTATTTGCACTTTTTGACGTGCTTTCG